ATTCCATGGGTGAAACTAAGCTGGGGCCAAAGATAGATAGAATGGCCATGTGCTACAAAAAGAAATTAATTCAGTTTATGAAGCTAGGAGAGGTGGGGGTGCCAGAGTCATTATTATGCTTATTATTATGCCTAATTTTGACACTGATACCATCAGTGATAGATGTTATTTTCCCTCACACCAAATGCCTGAATTAACATTCCCTCAACCCCCCCCCCCCTTAAACCAAAAAAAACAACAACAAACAAACACCTAGGAGAATAGCCTTGAATAGGTAAAATACTCACAAACACCTAAGCCCAGGAGAATAGCCTTGGCCTAAAAGCAATGAAAAAAGCGCTGCCAGGTCGCTGGTAACAAGAGATAGGAGGAAGTAAGTGAAGCCTAGTTTTTGAAAACCCTGCCCTTAATGTTTTAATTTGTTATTATCAAAGTCAAAGGTTGAGCGGATTGTAACAGTTGTGCTTTATTGAATTTGTAATCACTTTTTTGTGGAATACTTGATGCGGCCCAGTCTCACTCAGACTCTACCTCCTGCGGCCCGCGGTTAAGTTGAGTTTGAGACCCATGGGTTAAACAAGGCTAAAAAGTTCTTTAGCAACAACGCAACACACGTACTCAAAACAATCAAAATCAATAAAAATTATTAATTATTTTAACATAATTAATGAGCTTATCTCGGGGGACCATCATCACGTCAGCAGCTTCCAAAAGTACTGTATATAGTCAAAATAAATTGAAAAAATATTTAAAAAGCAAGAAAACATAAAACACTTTGACCACAAGATCAGCAACTTAGCTAACTAATACGTATACTAACAAGTCAAATTAAACAAAAACAAAAGTTCATCAAGATAACACAGTATTACATTTAAAGTAACTTCCCCTGTGAAATTTAATAATATTATAAATTCGTATTTTTAATACGAAGAGGACAAAAGGAGCTGTTTTTTTCCTCTTCTTTTTATTTTTTTTTAAAAAGGGGGGTGGGGGTGGGTGGGGATGAGTAGCATTTTTGGATTACTGCAGAGTTTTTATCGTAGAAGTGGGAGGCAAAATTTTTGGCCCCAGCTTAGGGACAATAATAATAATATACTAATATACTTTTCACGTCAAGAAACTCATCTAAAACATCTAACATTCATTGTTGCTTTTACTGTAGCTAACAAATTATCGACATAGTTATTTTGATTAGGGGATGGGGCAGAGATTGGTGATGCAATGGGCTCCCAAGTAAAGGTGGTCAGAAAATTGTATTCATGAAGGGAATATTTCAGATATTCGCAAAAAATAAAGTTGGGTTGGGGGGTATTTTCTATCAGTGTACAAGTTGGGCGTTATGTTACTTGGTGTCATGATACATAAACTGTATTCACTTCATTTTGACGCACACTAGGGTATTCTTGTCACATTGATGGACGTATACGAGGAGAAAGCAGAAGCCGAGGGCATCAATGATTCCAGAATGAAAGCGAGGTGAGGGGGCTTATTGAGCACTACCAACATTTTTTTGGATAAACTCAAATTGAAGCGATGCATTTTGGTGCATACCTGATTTTAGTTTTACATCATTCGACACTAATCGTAAATCAAAAGAATTTAAATGTCTCTAGATCTAGTTGACTTTATAAAAATGCTATATTGTACGTTTTTCTAAATTGTAATGTTTATTTATAATTTTTAATGTTAACTATTCTTTTCGTTAACGACTTCATTAATAAGTGAATTTTTAAAAAGAATATTTCCATTAAAAAAATTGACCATCACAAAAACTAATAAAGCTTGGACTCAATATAAATAAAAGCAAGACAAAGGTCATGAAGGTAAACTCAACCAACCAAGAGCATATCTCTCTGGCAGGCAATGCACTGGAAAAAGTGGAAGCCATCAAATACTTAGGCAGCACCATTGACTTAAATGGTGGCTCGGAAACTTATGTTGGGGCTAGAATTGGAAAGGATAGGTCAGCATTTGTGCTATTAAAGAAAATATGGGAATCAAAAGAGCTGACCCTGCAAACAAAAGTCCGAATTTTTAACACAAATGTAAAAACAGTCCTACTCCGTGGAGCCGAAACTTGGAGAACAACAGTGAGTATTTCGCAGAAATTACAGACCTTTATAAACACTTGTCTTAGAAAGATCCTGAACATCAAATGGCCAAACACCACCACCAACATAGACTTACTAGAAAGGACACACCAGGAGCCAATTGGTTAAGACATCATAAGGAAAAGATGGAAGTGGATATTTCAATGCAAACCACCAGATCACATCACCAGACAATCTCTAACATGAAATCCAGCTCGAAAAAAGAAAGAAAGGAGGCCCTAAAAATACATGGAGGCGCGATCTAGAGACAGACACACAAAGTATGGGATACACATTAAATAGAAGCAAAAGGAAAGGAACGCACAGAACCGAGATGAATGGAAAATTCTTGTAGACGGTCTATGCCCCACTTCACTAAAGGGGTGGGGGGTGGGGAATAGCAGTCGTCCCCCTCCCCCCTAGATATGCCTAAAGAAACTCTGTTCCTGTCCTAGACTTTAAAGCTGCAAACCTGTCAATCACTTGATCAAATTAAATATCCTTTCAATTAATAGTAAAGCCAGATCAGAAACCCTTGACTGTTCCAAGGTGGATTGTAAATAGTTCTCCTGCCATCCTCTTCTTAAACTTTAATTTTCTTTCTACCGAAATTCCATATTGGTCCGATTTTAAACGTGCCTTTTCAACAGCATGTTCCACCAAGTGACAGCGCTTCTTGTGAATCACAGACCACATGTAAAAGATCGTGTGCTGTACCCGGTATATCAATCGTGCTTAAATATTAAGGGGGTGGTGCTAGTGACGAATCGGCGAAAATATTAATTTTAAAGTATTTCTGAGTTTCGAAATATTTGGTTTCAAAACGCATTTTTGTGGTTTTAATTTAAATGTATTTAAATTAATTATTAAAAGTTATTAGAAAATTGTGTAAAATTATTTTTTTGTTTAACCCTATAAATGGGTAAAAAAATTCGATTCATGAATCGTCCGACCACGTCGTTCCTGGTATGAACTGAAAGCTTTATTTTTCAGAAATTAGATAACTATAACTTCCTGTCACGAAAGTTTTCGAACACTTCAATTGGCGTTGAATCATGGTCTAAACTGTACTTTTGTGATCTAATTATAGGGTCATCTCATTTATGATGCATCAACCTTGAACTATTATAAAAGCACGGATTTGGATTAGTTACAAATGTGGATAATCGGCATGTGATCTGTTATCCTTTTCTGAAATTCGGTTAGACCAAGCAGTGTGTGCTGTGTAAATATGCAATTTTTCATTTCGGTGTCAACCCTGAGATGGTGTCTCCCGGTGCGGTTCACACCCCCCGCACCCCACTAGCTAAGCCACTGGCACATTTCTTTTGCTGCCCACGGATACTACGTCCAAGCTAAGTGATATTTCTTATTTTTATACCGTTTTTTTTCTGTTGTTTTGTTCGCTGACGAAGGCTTTCTGTCGACACGTTCGTTGTTTTGTTGCGTTTCTTTTTTCAGGTTTAACCCTGCTCTGTTTTATTCATTTTACATTGGTTCTGATAAAGGCAGTCTATTTCCAATAGTGCATGTGTTGGCCGGAGACTTCACTCGATAGATTTGATGGTGTTCACATATCATTTTTATACCGGTATTTTATTTCATTAATTTTTTGGCAAAATTCCTAGTTTACAACACTTTATATAAGTTATAAAAATGATAATTTAGCTAGTTATTGTTTTTTTAAAAATTATGTTTTCGCTTTATTTTAACACACTTTTCTTCTTCTTCTTCTTCTATATCTTAAGGGCCCACGATCAATTTATTGATCATTTTGGCTCCTATGCATGTAGATGGGATTTGCAATGTTTCTGTTACTGGTGGTGATGAGGAAATTATGCACTAGGGGTTTATGGCTCCTATGCATGTAGATGGGATTTGCAATGTTTCTGTTACTGGTGGTGATGAGGAAATTATGCACTAGGGGTTTGAAGGCTTGAGGCAATAGACACAAATGTGTCTAGTGTTGTCGCCTCAACTGTTCCTTTCTAAGGGGATGGTCTGAGGAGGCAGTTGACTTGCTCTGGAGAGACACTTGAAGAAAACACTGGTTGCAAACAATAAAGAAATTTTAAAAAAATTAATAATTTTAACAGAGATTTTTTGTAACAGATTGTGATGGGGGTAAACATTGTCAAAAATTACGAGACATCCTTCATGGCCGGCCCCTATACAACTGCATCGATGGCTACCACAGTTATAGGCAGGTGAGTGTGCGCTAATTAGATCAATGCCACAGGTATAGGAAGGTACCTGTACCTACGGTAGAGTACCAGATCAATACCACAGTCATAGGCAGGTGATTGTACGCTACTCAAATCACTACCATTGTTATACGCTACTCAGACTCAGTGCCTGTTCATTGTTAAGTTTTGATCGGTCTATCAAGTTGAACCCGTTTCACATAAATAGCCTCACAAAAATCAGACTACTTCAGGGCAAGGTCCCAGACAAAGAGGTAAAGGTCCCAGGCAACGAGGTAAAGGTCCCAGACAACGAGGTAAAGGTCCCAGACAACGAGGTAAAAGGTCCCAGACAACGAGGTAAAGGGTCCCAGACAACGAGGTAAAGGGTCCCTGACAACGAGGTAAAAGGTCCCTGACAATGAGGCAGAACTCAAAGCTACGCTGGGAGGGAAATGTAAGTATATCACAATTGATGTTATTGGTATCTTTTGTTACGGTACATTTTGTCTTTAAGGTATAAAGTATAATTTAAGTGCGTTACTTGTATTCATGTTTTATTCCCCATTCCAATTGCTCGATATTACATTTATAAAGTATTTATACGAAAAACCTTTTTTAAAGGTTGTTAAATTTACCAATTTTTTGTATTATTTTTTTCGTATAAATACATTGATGCTTCTGTTTTTTTGTTAATTAGTAAATAAAAAAGTGAATGAAGAAAAATAATCGAAAAGCGAAGAGAAAAAATTGCCACAACAATGCCCGTTGGTATTGAATTGAATTCGAGAAAAGAAACCAAACTCTTTAACTAATTTTTCGAGGTAATCTCCTTTTATAGCGTCCTAACATTTCTGCTACAAGAAATTTTGTCTCTGTGATATCCAGCTTATTTTTAATAGTACCGATAATAATAGTTTTCATCGTATGATTGTTTAGTAAAAAGTAAAAATAAAATTTTTTACGATTATTAATATTATACTTATACTATTATCGTTGTGTAATTTAATCTTTACTTTGTACTGTACATTGCCAAAAGCTTTTCTTCTATGTTTCTCAAGGATTCCTATCACTATCATGTTTTAATTAAAATTTCAGGGTGAATTTTTCAATTACAACAAGGCATTGCCCCCCCCCCCAACTGAGCTAAACTAAGTAGGCCTATTTATGCTGTTAAAGTAAAAGTAAAGGTCTTTCATTTTTCAAGGATTCCTATAACTATCATGTTTTAATTAAAATTTCAGGGTGAATTTTTCAATTACAACAAGGCATTGCCCCCCCCCCCCCCAACTGAGCTAAACTAAGTAGGCCTATTTATGCTGTTAAAGTAAAAGTAAAGGTCTTTCTCCCCTCTCAACTGGGCCAAACTAAGTAGTAGGGTTGCCAGGTCTGCTTCCCAAAAATAGCGGACAAGCGGGCGGGGGGGTTGTAAGTAATTTTGTACAATTAAATTATATATTTTCTTACAAACATTTGATCACGTATTAAAATAATCACTTGAAAACTTTACTTAAAATTCCAAACATTAAATATATTATAATAATATGTCCCTTAGACTGTACAGCTTTAGATTACGTACCATTTCATTATTCATAAAGCTTTTGAAAAAAAAAATGTCCACTATTTTGCAAAAAAAATAGTGAACATAATTTGAAAAAAGTGGACTGTCCGCTCAAATTGTGGACACCTGGCAAGCCTACAAACTAGATACAATATTTATTATGATATAATTATGTGAGTGTGATGAACAAGAAATAAACATTATTTTAATAGTTAATTAGTGAAACCTGAAATGTTAGCCCAATGACATATTTAATAATGTGGCATAAATTAATGAATATGGACATGGACATCCAGATAAACTTTAGTATATCCTATGCCCCCTAAAATAAGTTTCCTCTCATCCCGCAGTAAAAAAATAGGCTTATTTACTGTTTAGGCCTTTACAAAAATAAACTTTTACAAACCCTTACAATATAATATACATTGATAATATAGGCCTAAAACATTAAAGATAAATTTTATAAATATAGGATTGAACAAATAGTAAAAGTTAATCTAACCCTGCAAGTCATAGTTTTCATAAAATAGGATTTATTAAAAAATTAAATTAAAGAAACTCTATGATGAAATTTGTTATTATTTTATGAATATATAAATCTATTATGGCCAGCAGTTTTTACATTTTATTGTAGCTTAGGCATAAAATTAAGAATCAAATAATTTCTATCAGTCTTAAAATTATGGTATGGCCGATTTTCCTTCAACCGAAGCTAGAAAACCAAGGCAATCCTTGGTCTTGTTGAAAATGGTTCTTTATCCTTCCGTTTTTGATATGATACTTACGGGTTTTCCAATACCTTGTTTTTGAGATCAATGTAGATTTTTTTAGTTTAGCCAGTGGTCATTTTTTTGTTAGTTAAAACGCTCTGAGCTATTTGTTTGTGAGGAAAAGATTTAAAATTTACATTACTAATTGACTAATTATTTCTGAGATTCCAACTTGAGCCAAATTTAAAGAATTTAATGACAAGTGCATATTGGCAGGCAATGAATTTCTAATTCTCTGAGCCATTTTTTAATTGAAAACTACTACATACTATAGTAATACTATTATAACCGGAAGTAAGCAGTCACATCTACAGAATAAAGCTTTTTTGAATTTCCGATTCTAAAAATACAGAAACAGGTGGATTTGAGGCAGCTCAGACATTAATATTTTAAACTTTAAAAACTAAGTAAATATAGACATACTTTAAAGTAAGACATCACTCAGCATTTGCTATTATCCTATATGATATATGTGCCACCTAAACACAAGCTTTAATTCTCTCTTAATTAGTGAATGTCGTCAACCTTCATCTTAACTTGTTAATAATTTTCAGACTCAGGCTTACGGTGAAGCTAATGACACTGCGAGAAATGCCATGTGAGAAGAGTGTAAAATAAATCCTGCTTTGAAGATTACCTGCTTATATGTGACTAGATAAGAATTATCAAAGTTTTTCTTCCAGTAGCTATACTATAAATAATAAAAATGAGGCCTGATGAACATAAAAAAAAGAAAAATGAAGCATATAAGAAAAAACATGGTCTTACCAGTGGAGGAGAAGAAAGAGCTGGAAAACACAAAGACAAATCAGGAAAGGCAAATACAGCACACAAAAGTCTTAGCGGTGATACAAATAAAACAAAAACTGCTGAGCATCATAAAAATGAGCCTCATGATATGGCCGGGCACAATCAAGCAAGAGCTTTAGAAAAAACAAATAAAAATACTGAGTTAAGCCGTGATCCAAGTTCAGGAAATGCCATGGGTGCTTATCATTTGAGAAAGAATTTGGGATCATCTGACTCCTCATCGTCAGATTCAGGAAATGATGAGGTAACATTTCTCACCTTTTAAAAAAGATACGCTAAAGCAAAAAATAATCTAAATTGCCATATCATTATATAATACCTCTTATACAATGTTATATTTTCTTGAAATTTCATGGTATTGTGCAAGTTAAATAAAGGATTTATAAATAATTTTATTAATTTATTTTAAAAATTCTTTTCCAGATTTTTTTTTGAATTTAAATAAAATTTATTTAAAATCATATGTCTTTTAGAAAACTGGGGCAGTCAAGAATAAGAGGAAAAACTATCGGAGACGTGAGATTGTGAGTAATTGGAATAAATATGAATTAGAACCAAATCAAGAGGAGGAGAAAATTGTGTCCAGGGGCGAGAATTTCGAAAAGCTAATTAGCATGGCAGGTAATGAATATGCAACAATTTTTGTATGATTTATTTCATGTTTACTACCTTAAATATTAGCCGTCAGATCAAAAGAAATTTAAATAAAAAAAATTGAGATAAGCTTTTTTATGTATTACAAAAAGCCTTGCCTTTACTAAGTTATCAAACAATCATGTTTATTTTAAGTAATAATATGAATAGAAGAATACACTTAGATTATGTCATGTTATTCTTTATTCATCTCAGGTAAAGCAATGAGCCACTTTAGATTCAAGGATGAGTTAGAGTGGGAGCAAGATGATGAGTTAACTGAAACTGATAATGGAGATATGTACAGCCAGGTTTTGAGTATCAATCCTGCTGATTTGATTCGAAATTTATCTTGTATCCCTGTACACCAGATTTTAGGGATAAGTCAGGATGTGTTTCCGGTAGGCTTTATACTTTATACCTAACATTGTTAATTTTTAATTATCATGTTCTAAAATTATACTTAAATTTGTAAAAAAAAATCAATGACGTTTATTCTTCTACCGGTTGCTGATGGTGTGTGTTTTGTCACTTTTAGTGCATGAGAAAAAAAATGTACCGGTACTAATCTTTGTGCTGTTGAATTTTTTAAAAAAAATTGATGGTTAAAATGATGAATAATTTAAATAAATTTTATCTCAGTCAACTCAAATAGGTTTAATGATTGACGTTGCTAAGAGGAATAAAGATGCATTTGAATTAGCTCTTGGGGAAGAGCTTAGACCACATGTGGAATTCCATGAATTGCAAAACAAACATGTCACTGACACCAATGGAAGAACTCAGATGGTGGAGACCCTTCACCCAAGGATGTCATCTGTACCCGAGTCTTCATCGGGAATCTGCATATCACAAGATGAAAACAATGTTGTGAAAAATTCATCAAATATCAATAGGGACATTAGTAAAGGTTTCAGCAACATTAATACCGTTGATAGTGGTCAGCAGAGTGGACGATTAAGTTTGCAGGATGAAGATTTAGATTTACTACTGGGCTTGGATTCTAATGGAAAAGTCCCTGGTCAGGAACAAGGGAATACACCAAGTGAACCGCCAAAAAATGGTCAGACTAAAACAACAGGCAGTAAGAGTTTTGGGTCTCTCATTAAAAAAATGTGTATATGATCTAGACCAGGGGGTCCTCCAATCTTTTAATCAGATAGCAGGTTCACTGTCCCAAAGACACAGTTAGTGGCTCGGTTCACTGTCAGAGTCTTGGGAGGGCCGGTTCACTATCATAATCTTGGGAGGCCCGGTTCACTGTCTCACAAACACTGTTTGGGGCCTGACTATAGTTTGAAAAAAAATATTATCAAAATTCCTATGCACACTCAACATTTCTTATTTCTGGTGCAGAAAACAGGAAAATACTGTTCATTATTCAAAATGAAAAACAATTTTAATCAGCATTATTTCTTATCAGCATAAGTTATTAGTATTTCAATGGGAAATATGAGCCTACTTTTGGCTAAACAGATCTTCAAGTCAGGTTCTACACTTCGCATGCTATTCGAGGCAAGGGGCCTGTTTTAAGGAGCCCTTTAGGAGAGGGGGAGAGGGGGGTAATCTAGGCTGTAGTTTGAGGACCCCCTGATCTAGAAAAATAGATACAAAATATTGACATTTTTTTCCATTTGTTAATATATATTTTAATAATACAAACTAATGTTTCAGTTACTTTGCTTTAAATTTTTTTTATCTTCTTCTTATATTTGAGGGGCCCACGATCAATTTGTTGATCATTCTGGCTCCTGGTTTAAATTCAGAGTTTGACTTCTCTTAGATGGGTTGCCGTCCAAGGCTAACGAGTCCCATCATTTCATTTTGACTAAATTACACACCCTGACTGAAGTATTTAAAAATTTAAACTGTTTTGCATTAATTCAGAGTTTAAAAAAATTTAAAGTTGATACATCTCCTAACAGTCTTGCATATTTGTTTCAGAGGCAGCTCAAGAATCAGATAACTTAGAAGATTGGCTGGACAGTGTTTTAGATGACTAATGCCTGACATATTACGCGACCATTCTGTGTATACAAATAGTACGAGAGAAAGTACATGGTTTTAAATGGTCATCCCATCAAAGAAACAACATAATGATGTACAATGGAATCGGCCGTGCTAGATCCAATGTCAGTCTCAAAAAGCACAGCTAAACATCCTTATGCCCCGTATTGTGATCAAGGAAAGGACAATTTATTATAGGATTACAAAATGTTTCAAGGGAACACACAAGAGAAAGATGTAAAACACAGAAACAGCTTGGAAAATAAATTTAGAGGAAAGCAAACTTCTAGAGGCATCCATGATGATTCTATGGTTATTTTTGTTTTAGTTGTCTTTAAGAGTAAAAAATTGTTTAGTCTCCAAATTATTCCGGAAAATAAATGAAGGACTCCGTTCAATCTGTGTGACGAAAATAGTGGCACAAGGTATGTGGAAGCGTGAAATATAAAGACATGACATTAAAGAACATTTTTTTTTAGGCCAAGAGCCTTTCTCAGCAGACAGGACAAATGAAGAAACTACAAAGAATTAGTTTAACAATTTGAGTGTTGGAGTTCACCATTAATGATATTGCAGGAAGTTGGTTTTCTGGAACAGTTGAGTCCACTACCACTAGGTGCTCCAGCAATTAAATAGCACCAATAATTTTAGATTGATCTCACAGTTTGAGGAAAAATGTTGTAACTTCAATTTGTGGACAGAGAAGATAAGGAGACCGCTACTAATGTCCATGATGTTACATTATATATTTGTTAATGTATTATTTCTTAGTAGAGGTGATGGTAAAAAAAATGAAATTTTAGACAATCTGAGTGTTTTTGTCCTTCAGACATAGACAGCATTACATTCATGTTATCATTGTTGTTAATAAGTAACTGGGAAATCAGTGTGGCTGCAAGACAAAATGTACCTCTTTAACAGATCAATTCAATATATAAATGCTTGTCAATGTTATCAACGATTAAAAATAAATTTATTGTTTAAAAAAAATTTGTTTGTTCAAATGTTTTGCATGAGTTTATTTGGAATGTGATCCAAAATATTTCATTTACAAAGCTTTATAGTACAGTAGAATCGAATATTGCCATTGAATTTTGATAAGATTTCATTTTGTTGAAATTGCATATTTTGGTGTTATTTTGTTGTTTTTTGACTTTAGATTATCATGAAAGAATTTAATATAAGCAATAGGATATATTTAAAGAAAATTAAATGAAGTCAGTTAAATATGTATAATAATACTTTCAATAAATAAAATATTTTTTTATGTAACCCCCACTTGAAAGTTCCTATTTGCTGTAATTCTCTTATAATTGTTTAAATTGACATCATCAATATCCGAAAAGATAATAATTATTTTTAAAAAATTCTGAAATCATACCTCATATTTCATGCTTTCAGAAATGATATATCTCTTATTGTATACGGTAGTTAAAACTTATACTTATTTATTTGTAGCTGATCTAAATGCAAACTTAAAAACAATTATTACATTTTCTTAGGCAGTACTGGGTACTTTGTTCTTAGACATAATTTAGACAGCACATTGACAGTACTTGTTTATCTTATAACATTACACCGATTTAATTATTTTATTAATGCATCATATAGAATTGTACTTGTGTTGATGAAGGTGGACAGTAAAACACTATCAAAAAAAGATTGTTGAAGTGGTATCCTATAAATTACTGTATAAAATGTCAAGCCAATGATAGATGAATAGAATTAAACTATAAAACTTATAAGTTGAATCTGTTCAAATGTAATTAAATTTAATAAGTCATACAAATTAAATAGAACAACAACACACAAATTGGTTAGTCTCTAAATGATAAAATGTACAACATCACTCTAACAGCAGAACAACTATATGCAACTTAATCATAGTTAGTGAATTTGGGGGGGGGGGGGGGGGGGGGAGACATACATGCAGAATCAGTCACACTATGTTCAGAAACAATGACCACATGCTCAAACACAAAAATGTACAACATCACTCTAACAGCAGAACAACTATATGCAACTTAATCATAGTTAGTGAATTTGGGGGGGGGGGGAGGGGGGGGAGACATACATGCAGAATCAGTCACACTATGTTCAGAAACAATGATCACATGCTCAAACACAAACATAGATAATACCAGCTAACTCAACCATGGCGCTTTTATGACACAATAATAAAATTGTAATTTTGTGAAGGTGCACAATATAAAATTCATTGATGAAAAAGTAACATTTATATTTAGTGATGAATTGTTGAACTTTAAATAACTTCTATAATTGAAGCATTGTTTCCTGAGTTTCCATGATGAATTTCAAGGAATACAATAATTGCGTCAGTTTGCATTAATAATACTAATAATAAATAGCATGCATTTTACTGACTTGATGCTGTCTTAAAAATATATTTTCAATGACAGATAGATTTTAGTGACATGTTTGGAATTCAGGTCTATGACAATTAATCCTTTTTAATTACCCTTTACATTTCATAGTCAGGACTTCATCTTGAGCTGAACCAGATTTGTTTAGTATCGCAGTTCTGTGGTGCTGTGCAGAAACTCATCTGAATCGATGGTGGCGCCATGTTGAAATCTGCCAGAGCTTGCGATGCTTCCATATTGGTCCAAGTATTGGTAGTAAATGGATGGCAGAGAGAAGCAGAAATCATGTGGTTTCCGGGCTTGTCTTTTCCTAATGATTAATGCAGAGGTTCCCACCAAGGCCCCTAGGGTAACTAGAATCCCAAGGATGGAAAACAGTAGTATAGGATTGACCCTCCCTCCAAATATGATCAGACCTCCATTTGTTGAAATGCCAGTTGTGTCTGAAATGAAGATTGATTTTTCATATAAAGTACTTATCAATCCCCAAAAAACTAAAATTACTTGGGGTTCCTCAGACTTAACATTTTTAGAACCACTGAGCTAAATTAAAGTGGAGACTTGTTAGTTCAAAATATTTTTTTGGGTTTAAATGAATAACTAAATAACAATAAGCAATCACTGGAAAAGTTAAATGTACGGCTTGATTTGGTGTTAAATGTACGGCTTGATTTGGTGTTAAATGCATGGTTTGATATGGTGTTAAATGTAAGGCTTGCTTTGGTGTCAAATGCAAGGCTTGATATGGTGTCAAATGCAAGGCTTGATATGGTGTCAAATGCAATCCTTGATTAACTGTTTGAACAAAAGAACATTTTTGTTTCATTTAAAACTAGATTATGTTTAAAAAAATCTTCAAATACCGTGGGAAATGGTTCAACTCTTTTTTTTACAACTCTTTTTATGAATGACCCTGCCTGTGGGCATTGAAAAATGTTCAAAATGTCAGGATTTAAATATCTTACTATGAAATTGGCAGTTTGCACCAGAATATTCAGGTAGACAGTCACAAAGATAGAGATTGGAATTTGTACGGATATTTCTGCAAGTTCCATTGTTCTCGCACGGCTGTGCGTAGCATGGATCTGTGGTCTGCTCACATGTGGCACCTTTGAAACCTGAGTAGGGAAAATGTCATGGCTCAACAGTGAAAAATAGAAACAAAATGTCATTTCTGATCAGGATGTTGGTTTGAATATAAAAAAAAAACCAACGTTTGTTATTAAATGTTATATTATATATAGGCTTATATAGTGGAAGAAAAGTACATTGCAAAAAGAACGAAAACCATTAAACTTTTCCAAGACATACCAGCTGTACAGAGACATTCCTCTTGGCCGTAGCTGTTCCTGTTGCAAGTTCCACCATTCCTACAAGACACAGCTTTATCAACCTGGCAGTTGGGCAACTTTTGTTCACATGATGTCCCTGTGTAGTCGCTGGTACAAACACATCGAAATGATCCTACAGAAAACAACAAACTATATGCTATACACTCACATGGAAACAAGACGAAGTAAGACGATTCTCAAGAAGGGTGAAAGGTCAGTGCTATAAAAAGGGGCTAAAGGTAGCTCTATAAAAAGGGGTTAAAGGTCTACTAAAAATCAATTAATTCTGTTTTTCACTTTATGATAATTAACTTTGCTTTCATTTTGGAATAGTTATTTTCTTACCAAGAGATCTTTGGGAACCAGCAACCTTCCTTCATGTTTAACTTTGTATAGTCTCTATGTATTAGACTATGAATATGCATAATGAAAGGCTAGTCAAAACTAAGCTGTATATGCTATAACAATTGTCCAGTTTAAATGAACTGCTATCTGATCTGAGTTATAAAGACACAAACAGGTTCATAATAAATAAATAATACATATCATATGTACTCAACAGTTGGACATTTTTCATGTTTTAATGAAGATGTGTTGTTAAGCTAGAGTTTTGTTTTAAAATCATTCAATAAACTTGAGTTGGGCTTGTTTTTCTGTTTCGTGGTTAGGCATGTGTGCAGTGTTTTGTTAGGGAGTTTATCTTAGGGGCTTTAAATAGGGAGAGGAAGGCTAAATAGTTGAATTTTAAGTGTAAGTTAGACTTTTTAGCAGCATGCAGGCAGATTTTTGTTTTATTTAGTTGCAATTAGCTTTAGTTGCAGTCATCTTCCTTTTAAACCACTGTCGATATATATTTATTTGGCAAAAAAAGTCACAAAAGAAAATGTAACACTTTAGAGGTAATTACCAATGTTCTGGTTTCTAAAATTTAATTATTAATAGTAAAAAGCAATTGAATAAAATGAGTTTTTCCCCCCATTAACTTGAACTTACTACCTCCTGGCTCTCTGATGCACGTTCCGTTATTGTCACATGGCAGAGATTGGCATGGATCAGCCAGATGCTCACAGCTCACACCGACTACACCTGCACCACAGTCGCACTGATACTGTCCTTGGCCCAACGGCTGACAGACGCCTTGACCACAAGGGTTGTTGACACACACATTGAACTCAGAGTCGCACGTGCCACCAAAGTAACCTAGGGAATGTGAATGGTAGAAGTATTTCATTTTCAAACAACAAAATAAACACAAGTCGTGACAAGTTACAAACACCTTCTTTTCTTAGCCTTATTATTGTATTAGTGGTAAATGTTGAGATTGATACCCGGGGTTTCCCATCATGGCCGCCATCTTAGTTGACGCTCCACGTGAAGTGTCAACCAAGATGGCGGCCAAAATGTAGTGCAAAACATGTGTTATGAAACGACTGGGGAGGGGAGACCCCCCTCCGACCTCCCCAGACCCTCCCCCACTTTAAATACCAAAATCAGAAACAAAAAATTATCTGGGGAGGGGTCACCCCTCCCCAGAATCCCTCCCCAATGTAAAAAAAAAAAATGAAATAAGAAAACAGTTGATCCATAAACCTAACCATAGGCGCCCGCAGAAAACTTTCCGGGGGGGGGAGGGGGGGGGATTTTTTTTAGTAATGTTTGAATGTAGTTTTAATTTACTGTAGCGTATTTATATGGTGAACGAACGGCAACGGACAGGACATCAGCTTAGTTACTTTCTCTTTATTTTCTCTTTACTTTAATACATTTTTTGTCTATTTTTGTCTAAAAATTTTTTATCCAATCAATCCAGGGGGGGGGGCAAGTGCCCTACCTTGCCCCTACCTGCGGGCGCCCATGAACCTAACCCAAAGTCTAAGGCCACAACTCAACAAGTAAGCAGCAACGGTTAGCCGTAAAAACACATGGAATTTGAAAATGAACAAAAAACCATAAAAATGGCAAAAAAGAAGCCAAAAATAATCCAAAAACCAAGAAATAATTAAAAACCAACTTACAGTTTCATGAAATACACTTTTACACACTTTATTACAGGTTCCGGTAGTTCCAAATAAAAAAAAAATATGTACAAATAATTGGAGCACAACTGCCGGCATTAGGCTAACATGTTGAAAAGATGGTGGCGCAAATAAATATAATTAGCCAACCAATGATAATTTAAAATTATAAATAATCAACCAATTAAAATTTTAAACAGAAACATGTCATCAGTACTTCCGCTAATAATAAAATGAACAAAGGGTAATGACTCCTGCACAAATTTTAAACAAACACGCAAATGACGTCATGGGTATTAGTCCCAACAATAGCCTGGTAGCCTAATTTACTCAAATTGTCAATTTTAACAAGCTTACCTTCCCTACAGTGGCATTGAAATCCTGTACCAAGTTGAATACACTGTCCACCATTTTGACATGGGTTAGGGTCACATCCGTCTAAATCCGACTCACAGTCAACACCTGATCAGCGTCGAGAGAAAGTGTGTCATTATTTTTTTTTTAATTTCTGGAAGTGAAGTTTTCTCCACAAAAAAAAAGAAAAAATAATAATAAAATAAATTAGTATAAAAAAATATAGACTATATTCAGTAGTGTAGCTAGAGTTTGTGACACCTGCGGTGGTCTTCAATGTTCCCATGCATAACTCAAGAAAATCGTAAAGCGTACTGAATAAACATCAAACGCAGGCCACAAACAGTAGATGAAGTGGGCAGAAATCCCACCCCCAAAAAAACAAAAAAAAAACCCACAGACGTGTCTCCCAGGGCGACACCCCCCCCCCCGTCTTCCTAAACTGTGTATATTTTCTACATTTTGTCATTTTGTACACGTCTAGAATTCCACATAAATAATTGAATAAACAAAACAGANAAACAGTAGATGAAGTGGGCAGAAATCCCACCCCCAAAAAAACAAAAAAAAAACCCACAGACGTGTCTCCCAGGGCGACACCCCCCCCCCGTCTTCCTACACTGTGTATATTTTCTACATTTTGTCATTTAGTACACGTCTAGAATTCCACATAAAGTATTGCATCAACAAAACTGATATATTGGCCACCCTGTAAAAATTACAAACACTTTCCTTTGCCCCTCCACACACGTTTTTTAAAATAAATCTTTCCACATAACATTGTTTATTATTATTTTAGATTGCTGGGTGCCCCACCCACTGTGAGAACATGCCGTTATATTATACGTGCACAGACCCATATTGTAATTTAGTAACAGCCTGCTGTATAACACTGGACTCAGCTGCCACCACTATCTGTAGGCTAACATGTTAATCAAACATATATGATGGGACGCAAATGAAAATGACATGATTTATTTTAAAAGACGAATACATTTTTTTTAAAAACATTATTGTGTTTTTCCATGTGGTTAGACCAATGGTCGGCAAATGGATGTGGTTAGACCAATGGTCGGCAAATGGATGTGGTTAGACCAATGGTCGGCAAATGGATGTGGTTAGACCAATGGTCGGCAAATGGATGTGGTTAGACCAATGGTCGGCAAATGGATGTGGTTAGACCAATGGTCGGCAAATGGATGTGGTTAGACCAATGGTCGGCAAATGGATGTGGTTAGACCAATGGTCGGCAAATGGATGTGGTTAGACCAATGGTCGGCAAATGGATGTGGTTAGACCAATGGTCGGCAAATGGATGTGGTTAGACCAATGGTCGGCAAATGGATGTGGTTAGACCAATGGTCGGCAAATGGATGTGGTTAGACCAATGGTCGGCAAATGGATGTGGTTAGACCAATGGTCGGCAAATGGATTAGTCAAAAGAGCCGAAAATCAGCAGCTTGACGATAAAAATTTTTTGAAAGCCACATTTCTTTTTAAGAACCTGTCAAGAACTGTCAAGAACCATGTTTTTCGGAGTTAAACCCGGTGTGTGGCCGACTGGCCGAGCCGCACTCAGGTCGTTAAATAGCCACAATGTGCCGACCACTGGGTTAAAGCCAACAACCTTTACTCATAGACATGCCAATTAAATAAAAGACAAGACACCAATTCCCTGTTTCAGCTTCCGTTGATTGGAACCTGGGACACCTGCGGTGAACATTCAACCCCACCCCCTCCCTCCTCAATCCAGCATAACAAACCTGTATATCCTTCTCGGCATGTACACGTGTAGGTCCCGGGCGGCCCCTGTGAGCAGGTCCCTCCGTGTTGACAAGGGCTCAGCGACAGGCATTCATCAATGTCGGTTTCACAGGCCACGCCCCTGAATCCACGGCGGCAGTCACACGTGTAGCTTCCGGGGGCCGGCTGTATGCACGTGCCGCCGTTGTGACAGGGGGAGCTGTCACACTGGTCCACCTCTGTTGATCATAAGGTCATACAACACATTTAGGTCCTTACTGAAGGTATTCAAACAGGAGCCGGCGAGAGAAGATACAGATGTGAGATGTGTAGACTAGGTACGATTTCTCATAACAGATTACTTGATTAGAGATTGGAATAGCTTAACTTCAGTGTACAATTGGATCGTTAACAAGTGTTTGGCTCTAGACGGGGCGTTTGTCTCCGGTTGATCACATATAGGATCAAAACACAACACAGGACCAGTGCAGCACACAGGACCACTTCACCATACAGGACCACTTCACCGTACAGGACCACTTCACCGTACAGGACCACTTCCACCACACAGGACCACTTTCACCCCACAGAACCACTTCACCCCACAGCATACCACTTCACAACACGGTACCACTTCACTACACAGGACCACTTTCACCCCACAGGACCACTTCACTACACAGGGCCACTTTCACCCCACAGGACCACTTCACTACACAGGGCCACTTTCACCCCACAGGACCACTTCACTACACAGGGCCACTTCACCACACGGTACCACTTCACTACACAGGACCACTTCACTATACAGGATCACTTCACCCCACAGGACCACTTCACTGCACAGGACCACTTCACCACACGGTACAACTTCACCACACAGGACGACTTCACCACACGGTACCACTTCACTGCACAGGACCACTTCACCACACGGTACAACTTCACCACACAGGACCACTTCAACATACGGTACCACTTCACCACACAGGACCACTTCACTACACAGGACAATTCACCACACAGGACCACTTCAGCCCACAGAACCACTTCACCCCACAGGGCCACTTTCACCCCACAAAACCACTTCACCCCACAGAACCACTTCACCCCACAGGGCCACTTCACCCCACAAAACCACTTCACCCCACAGGACCACTTTCACCACACAGAACCAATTCACCACAAAGAACCAAAAGAGACGACCTGCAGTAATTTTAACCACGGCGCCTAGAGCAACATCTCGGTCGCCCCTAATGGTGGGTAACACATCCTCGAGTGACCGATTGACTGTTTACGTTACCATAGAACGGTCACGTCCTCAGATACGTACCAGTCTCACACAGCCGCCCCTTGTACCCTGGGAAGCACATGCACCGGAAGGACCCGATGTTGTCGACGCACGCGCCGTTGAGGCAAGGCGAGCTGGCACATTCGTCTATACCTGGTCATCAAATAAAGAAAAAAAAAAAGGATCAGGCTGAGATGCCAAGATGTCTTCTCGTTGCGTCTCAAAATGTGTGGCCATATTCCATTGAGTACATTGACTAGCTCTTAATGATAAAAAAAACAAAAAAAAACGTGTTACAGCAAAATCATTGTCGGTTACCGGAAATTTGATCAACGGAAATGTGATCGAACGGAAATTTGGTCGAAACTTTTCTTCAGTTCACACGTTAAAATTTTCATCACATTTCTTTTTGAGCGCTTTACACTGTATAGTAAAACAAAATAATGCGTTCAAAAAGAAATTTGAAGCGAAATTTTAACGTAAAAACTTTTAAAAAAGATTCGAACAAATTTCCGTTCGCTCAAATTACCGTCGATCAATTTACCGTCGACGATCATTGCCAATAGAGTAGGCGTGAGACGCTTCGATGTATTATTGTGCAAGCTCTACTTATGGGAAATGGAGGCTTGTAAAAAATCTCATCATTGAAGAACTTCTTTTACATACTGTACATCATCATGTTCATTTAGGATTTCTTGTAATATAATCATATTCATCTTTTTTTAAAAAATGATGTCATTTCCTTATATAAAGGGGGACGCAGTTATATATTTTGAAAATGCAATGCTGTTTCAACGACTGCCTCTCTTGCTAACTAACAGCATTAACTCCATACAGTTAGGAAGACATAAATAATCATATGTAATCTATTAAATAAAAATTATGATGATATCTATCATGCTACATTTAATGTCTAGTGCGTTAAGTTCACTAGATTTAAGACTCCGTCAATAAATTGGTGGTTTTTAATTTAACTGAAGAGCGTTTAGTTCCTGAATGGTTAAGTGAGTCACGCAATGCCTTACCCATCTCACAGTTGAGTCCCGTGAACCCATGCAGACACTGGCAGCTGTAGGAGACGGTGGAGAGCTGCGACATGAAACAACTCCCAGCATTCAGACATGGCGCGCTGTGGCACGGCCCCACGGCTGACAGCAGCAAAAGAAAAAAAAAAGACTTTGTGATACAATAAAATACATATATCAAATGTATTAGAAATATTAAAAACATATCTCTAGGTATTACCAAGCCAGGCCGGACGAAGTTGGCGATTTAATATTTAAAATTATTTTTTTTAAAGGCTGGAATAATTATTATTATTATATTTCAAATGCTCCAGTGCCGAAGACGATTTAAAAAAAAAAAATTACGAAACTATATTACTAGCTTTACACCCCCAGGAAGCTCCTCGCAAAGCGTTGAAAAATAAAAGTGGGGGTGGGGTGTGACACCAAATAGAAAATGCAAACTTTACAGAGTTCGATCGAGTCAGTTTAGTAACAGAACTCAGATTCAAAAACAGTGTGCCACCAGTTCACTAGTGAAAAAGGATAAGCTCTGTGGCTGGTACACGTGCATCTCAAAACCGATCAAGCTCTCCAGAATTTCTAACAGGAAAACGATGGAAACGATATAGAAGTACAAATGTTCTAAAATATTGGCTAATGCTTACTTGGAAGTATGATGAGTTCTCCCATTGTACTCTCAGACCCAGATGTACAGTGGCTGACATACCACATAACCAAAGCATAAATTGATAACACTTGGGCACTCATCATAAATATATAGTCCAAAAAAAAAAAATCCTCGAAGAATGTATTTCTCTAAAAGACAACACGATTCTCTCATCCGAGTTGAAGGTTATAATCTGCGCCCAGGCGCTATCTAATAGTTGACAGAACCAGAACTTGAATTTTTACGATACTCTTAATCCAACAGATGGCTCAACAGATCACATGGCAGCAACTCCAACAAAAAATGTAGTTCCGAAACAAAAACAAAAAAACGCAAACACAATCGCAAACTCCATTCATTTTGAGATGTAGTAGGCCAATGGCCAGTGGCCAATGGGGCAATGGCCTTTAACTGAAGAGAAGGCGTATTTCTTTCTTTTACTCAGTCAAAGTGATTTTGAAACAAAAATATCTACGCCTGCTTAGCTACTAACACGCTACGGAGGAAAAAAAACAAATCAAGCGAACACAACTCAGAATCTTGCAAAACTAAAAAAGTTATGATATCCGAAATTCAGAGTTACCGATTTTTGTAACTGTTCATGTTTTGAAAACAGTTTCTTTTCCGACTTCAGGGGACCAAACGTTACCTGTTGCCTAGTTCCTGGGATCAACTCAAACAGGAGGAAGTGGTCAGTTGTATGCAGATCGCGTCCAACAAGGTCTCGCGAGAACGTGACGTTCGTTCGCTGGGAGGGCGCTCCACGTTTACCTGACCTGTCCGTTTGTCCCAGACATGGAGTCACAGGGCAGTAGTCAGAGCAAACAATGGCGACACTTGAACGTGACAAGGGACAATTTGTAAAAAACAACAGCGTATTTGAATAACAATTTCTTAACGGAAGTAGTATTTATATACGATTTTCCCTCACAAATAAATAATGATTAAATAATTGGTGGGAGGTGGGATTTTGAGGTGGGATTGTGGGGTGGGATTTTGATGTGGGATTGTGGGGTGGGATTGTGAATTGTGAGGTGGGATTGTGAGGTGGGATTGCGAGGTGGGATTGCGAGGTGGGATTGCGAGGTGGGATTGTGAGGTGGGATTGTGAGGTGGGATTGTGAGGTGGGAAGAAATCTTATGTATTCATTTTTAATAAATAAGTATTTTTGCATTTAAAAAAATTTAGATTTGGAATAAAGATATACTTGAGCTCACAGACAATTAGAAATACCATAAACTAAATAAATACTAGAGTGACGCAACTGATCACTGTTAAAGATGGTTAAGTCTTTAACAATTTTGTCAGTCAGAAATACACAATAGTTTGGTCAGTCAGAAATTTACAATAGTTTGGTCAGTCAGAAATACACAATAGTTTTGTCAGTCAGAAATACACAATAGTTTTGTCAGTCAGAAATATACAATAGTTTGGTCAGTCAGAAATACACAATAGTTTTGTCAGTTAGAAATACACAATAGTTTGGTCAGTCAGAAATGCACAATAGTTTGGTCAGTCAGAAATACACAATAGTTTTGTCAGTCAGAAATACGCAATAGTTTGGTCAGTCTGCAATAAACAATAGTTTTGTCAGTCAGAAATATACAATAGTTTTGTTAGTCAGAAATATACAATAGTTTGGTCAGTCAGAAATATACAATAGTTTTGTCAGTCAGAAATATACAATAGTTTGGTCAGTCAGAAATACACAATAGTTTGGTCATTCAGAAATACACAATAGTTTTGTCAGTCAGAAATACACAATAGTTTTGTCAGTCAGAAATACACAATAGTTTTGTCAGTCAGAAATACACAATAGTTTTGTCAGTCAGAAATACACAATAGTTTTGTCAGTCAGAAATACACAATGCCCCCTCAACTTAAACCACATTGATTTTAAATTTTAATGAGATTTAGAAAGACAAAAATGTAAATAATATATGGATTGTATCAGTAGACATCAGAAATGTATTTAAAAAAAAAAAATAAAATGATTCGTTACAAGCTATCTCTGGCAATAAGACAAGAAATCAAACTTAATGTTGATAACTTATTTAAAAATAATAACATGATGTGTTGCAAGCTATTTCTGGCATTAGGACAAGAAATCAAACTTCCAAGTTTCTGTAGAAAATGTGTGACTAGTTTGTGTGTGTGTGTGTGTGTTTTTTTTTTTTTTGTTTGTTTTGTGGAGATTCGTCGGTGGATTTTAAATAAAAGTGAATCGTAAAAATTGGGATTGTGCGTTTTGAAACGTGAGGGAAACAATTTACTTTTTAATTTTTGTTGTGAGAGGGTGAAGGGCTGAGGGACAAACTTTCAACACTTTAGATAATGTTCTCCTGTCACGGAGTGCAACCAGAAGTAATCGCCCGACGACCTCATCCATTCAACCAGAAGTAATCGCCCGACGACCTCAGCCATTCAACCAATAGTAATCGCCCGACGACCTCAGCCATTCAACCAATAGTAATCGCCCGACGACCTCAGCCATTCAACCAATAGTAATCGCCCGACGACCTCATCCATTCAACCAAAAGTAATCGCCCGACGGCACCATACATTAAACCAAAGCTAGCTAACTCCAGAGGCGTAGCGAAGGGGGAGGCCAGCCAGTTAGGGGCGCCAAAATGGGCTTTGATATTATTTTATTGATTAAAAAAAATGGGTTTGAGAGTTGAAAAAAAGAAAATGGGGCGTTTTAAAACGAATCTTGTCCCCCGGGCGCCAAACACTCTCGCTACGCCTCTGGCTAACTCATGTGACGCAAACTCCCTCAGGTCAATCAGGTCCATCGAGTTTAAAGTTTCTCTACACGCAAAGTTAAAAAGAGACGACAAAATAACGTTAAAAAAATATCTTATTGCAATAATTATTGGAATCTAAATTAAGTATAAGGTATTTACAAGTAAGATCTAAAATAATCTGTTTGCAAAACAGGAAACGTTATCTAAGAACTGACTGTGTAGTTGCTGCCTGTCAGTGGACGCCATTTCTGGGTTGGGTGCTTGTGACCAGCTCGGCGGCTGCAGCCATACACCAAGTCACCAGGACACCAAAAAGGGGAAAACAAGACACAACGTCGACATGACAACTGACAACAGCTAAAGTTTCACGATTTTTTTTGTTTTGGTTGTTATTTTTTTTTTTTTTTTCAACGAGCGTCACATAAATTTGGCGTCAGAAGGAGGGCTATTAGTTCTTCTACGGGGATTCTTACACCGCAGAGAGCACCTCTCCCCAGACATTTGAGGCCACAGGACACCAAAAAGGGGAAAACAAGACACAACGTCGACATGACAACTGACAACAGCTAAAGTTTCACGATTTTTTTTGTTTTGGTTGTTATTTTTTTTTTTTTTTTTTTCAACGAGCGTCACATAAATTTGGCGTCAGAAGGAGTGCTATTAGTTCTACTACGGGGATTCTTACACCGCAGAGAGCACCTCTCACCAGACATTTGAGGCCAGGTCCCCTCGCTGGCCCAAGTGTGTGCTGTTTGTGGCAGGACTTGGGGAGTTAAAGCAAGACTTCATGACTCCGGGGTCCGGGCTTCCAGGTTGACGATACACCAGGAGACGTGAGGGAGGGTTTGGGGGTGGGGGGGGCAGGCATTAGTTGTTGAGCAACATTAGTTGATTGTTGTATTTTGGCTTCCTTTTTTTATCCTACAACATTAAGTCGTAAAGCTCGCCTTTAAAAAAAAACAACAAAAAAAACAACCTCTTGACGTCACAGATGTTGTTGAAGATACAACCTTGGAGTCAGGACAGTCAGAAGCAAAAGCTGAGCAAGGCCAGCAAAGCCTTCATTGATGCGCCTTCTTCTCTAATTCGTCTAAACAAGTCCAAATATTTTGCTTGAAAAAAAAATAAAAATTTTGGTGCTATCTTCGTTCTTGCCCCACCCCTCCCCACTTTTTTACCTTTAAAAAAAAAAACCAACGCTCCGACTGTAGTTATGCGATTTTTTTCCAGAATGATATTCTTCAGTTTGAGGACCACTGGGGCTAAAGTATTGACTTGGAATGTTTGATGGATGGCAATTGTGTCTGTTTTCTCCCTACCACCTGCGTCTTATCGTCCCGTTGTTGCGTGTGACACCTCCCACACCTCAGCACCTCATCTCCCCCCCCCCCCCTTTTATTTCCTGGTCACAACACTCCCCGGAGACAGTAAGTAACACAAAAAGCGTAATTTTCCGATGTAACAAAAAAGGCGCAAGGTGTAACTTTCCGATAACTTTTAGAAGTGTAACCTGAAGAAAATAAAAGATCCACAGCAAAAACAAGATAAAACCACACAAAAAGTATCGTTATAGAACATTTTTGAATGCAAATAATTATCAGAAAATATACATTGATCTATTATTTCATGGGATCGCTTCATACGTCTTTTATAAACTCGTTTCACAAAGACGTCTCAATGAATTCATAGCTGTATATTTATCACACCGACAAGCTGTTGTGCTGCTGCTGATTTGACCAGGACGGAGGCAATAATTGTAAGTATTGGCCGTAACTATCCATGTTAGCTAATAATGACATTCATTCTATTGTCCATCTTGATTAGTCCAAATAAGAAATAGACCCTATCAACTGAGTTTAATCCTTCTAAATTTAGTACAGGAATAAGATTAAATTTATGTGTGTTACTAGACAACATGTTGGTGCTTGTCAGGAGAGTTGCGTAACACTACCGTGACAGTGCGCTACACAGCAAGGAACTTTTAGAAAATGGATCACAAAACACACATCCCAATAGATCTATTTGTATGTGTAAGTTTATTTCGGTTCGGTACTATTAAAATGGTCTTAATAAGTTGTAGACCTGTAGACATGTGTACTTGACAGTCTTGGAAGGACGAATGCACCACCCAGGGTCTATTTACAAACCTTTGAAGGATTCCTTTACAATAACAATCTACGATACCAGAGACGTCGAGCGGGCCCCTGCAATCCCGGGAGGCTGAAGGGGGCCTGGGATATTTAAGGGGCCAAATTTATACAGTGGGAAATATATTTAATAATACACTATGGAGGCCACCCTGTCACTTAAGTGGAATTTTTAAAAAAAAACATTGGAGGCACGAAAGTGAAAAGTGGAAGGTGGCCTTCCAAAAGTCACGCAACTGCTCTCTGCTGTAAATAAATATTTATTACTTAGCACAAGGGCAGGGCACGCCCCTCTGGTCTCTATGAGACAAGTGACTTTTCCAACACATTACATGAAATATTTACTATATATATTTAGCACTTAAATTTAACATAAACAAATTGCTCAGTAGAATATGGTGCTTAGGTTTTGTTGATGTGTCATTCTTTGCCTGTTGTTTGTAGTTTTTCCTGGTTAATTTGAAAACGCTGTTTAAAAAGCTTAATTTTTTTTTTAAATTGTCAAAG